ATGTATGTATGTATGTATGTATGTATGTATGTATGTATGTATGTATGTATGTATGTATGAATGAATGAATTTTTGAATGTATGAATATATGAATGTATGAATGTATGAATGTATGTATGTATGTATGTGTGCACATGTGTGTGTTCGCACCTGTAGGCAAAGAAAGGAGTTTGTAATGCAGCCCCGCTTATATGGTCGACATTAAGAGGTACAGTTGTTGGAGTTTGTCTTGTTGGTGGCGCGGAATGATTAATAATGTCTGACCTACCATATAACTCGTGTCATACGTCAACACCAATCGGATCGTCAGTCATTTGCTGTCAACTCGTCTGCTCATCTTACCAGCCATCGCAACTTTTAACCCCGCCACGGCCTATCAACCCATCCATCTGCAGCTTTATCTACTTACGCACATTGTTATCTGTCCATCTATACATCCGTCCATTCAGCTTGCCTCATATTAATCCGTCCATCGTAAGTCGGAACTATCTATTCATATATTCACCAACCCATCATGCTATTCATCCACCCATAATCCTATTAATAGATCTATCATCGTCCGGTTCATTTCGAGAGATTCTGCCTAGTTGTGTAAAGTTGTAAACTAAACAATCCATATGTATTCATTCATCCATTTTTCCATCAATCTATCTACAAGGCTGCATTTAATTTATCCTCTTTTACGTTGATACATTTGTCTACTCATCTGCCTGCGTCTATCAATTGATCTTGTCAACCTACTTTACTCTATTTTTTTATCAAGTAGCTATCTTTATTTTGTCTTATCGTTTTTGTATTTATTCTGCTTTTCTACTTTGCTTGTAACTTTCCTCGACTTTCGCCACCAGCCTCCACTCTTACCTCAACCTCTGTCGTCTGAATCTCCGGAGCCGTGTTTTGATCATTCCTGCGCCTGGTACGTACCTGGTACACTTTTCATCACTTCATCCCATCGTCTTCGCTTCCCCTTCCACTTTGGCATCAATTATGATCTCCCGACCTGGTCTCTCGTGTCTCTCACCTTCTGCCTCTCGCCATCCTTTCGCTCCCCCCATCACTAGGCGATTTCTCCCAAGCACACACCCTTTGCATGTTTCTCTTTAATTAACCATGCATTGCCATGACTTGAGGCGAGGCGCCTCATTAACATGGCATTTTTTCCGCCTACCTTATGTCAAGATAACTGGCGTCTGGAGGACCCAAAAGCGGGCAGGTTTGGGAGTTGGTAGATCTCGAGGGTCACGATCAGAGCCCAAAGGGAGAGAAAGAGAGAGAGAGAGAGAGAGAAGGGAAGAAGGATGGAAGAAAGATGTCTAGAAATGCGGAATGGACAAAGTGTGCTGGGGGACATGAAGAAGTATGAGAATTGGCAATGTGGATGTCACGCTGTCCATCAAGGACATGGACATAGCATCAGTCTGGAGGCAGTGGGGGGAGGGCGGTGTGAGAGGGTGGAGGGTGGTTACGAGACGAGATGAAACCAGCCGCGTAGAAACGTCTGGACATGGTGGACTGGCTGGAAGACATAAGACCTGGGCTAATCAAGTCGACAAGTTGTATTTGGAAGAGGCCAATTTAATTGCATTTGTACATGAGCAGACGGAAATGAAAGCAAAGTCTGAAACAACTCCTCCGTCTTGTAGATGTCGCAATTTGGCAATTTGGCGATAATTCTGATAAGGTGATTGCTTAAAATATTGCGGTCATCTAGACCAATTTGAGCAGCTGAAAAGAGATCTTCACCGTGTTCTAGCCGAACATAGACACAATACCAACTTGGTATCCAAGCCAGGCTGGAGGTGAAGGTAGGAAATAGCCTAAATCTGGTGTCAATCGTAAAAGGATGATGACTAGTTGCCGGGTCAAGAGATGCGCAACCAACTTGACTGGTCTGTACGAATGAAATGACACAAAAATAGTTGGGTTGGGCAATTAGACAAATGATCATTTTCCCATAATCATATTAAAAGTTGTCACAATCACATTGAAGTTCGCTCAGTCTTCCATCTCAAAATGGATTCGATGCATATGGGCTGGCTGCGTCGATGAAGCAAACATGTATTTGCCGGAATAATCATTAATGTGAGTATGCTTAGAAACTATAAATAATTCCTCATTAATAGCATTTGTATGCAATTGTCCTACTTGTCTGATCGACGATGCCTGAAATATGCTAGATTAGAAGACCAGGCTTTAGTTTGCCAAACTTCAACATGTAGCCACTTTCAGCACACGGCTCGGTGTAGAATCATATCGAGGCGACAACTTAAAAGTTTCGTAAATCTTCCTTCATGAATTGATGACAAGTCTGAAAAATACTTACGTCGAATATGGCATCATAAAACTTGGGGTCGAGATGAAAATTTGCCAAAATCATCCAGTTGCAGACTGAAAAATGTTTTAAATTGAAACTTGTTTTTCCCTAGGGTTCACAACTTCGAATCCCGGCTGTTATAGAACTTTCTTCTTCCAGCATCTAACCCCAGAAGGAATGCATTCACAGACATTTCATAGACGTCGTGTTTGGAGGAGGTGGAGCTGAAAGACTCGCTTTATGTATCCGTGTTGACTTGACTTTTGATGATGAAATGCTCAGGTCAAGCTCACCAACAAACAATGACGAGCTCCAATTGATCCAGTATAATTAGTCGCTATGCAACTTTCTGGTTCCGGTGTCATTTAATTGACTTTGTGATTGGATTTCAGTGAATCTCCTGGAACTACCTTGCTGCGGGTCAGTAGACTGCGATGATCCAAGCATGACTTTAAGCTCACTTGTAATTGCAGACAGGTCTG